CATTACCATTTGGGTGGCGTAGACGGCTATGTATGAAAAGAAGAAAAGAAAAGGTCAATCGCCTGGACAAGAACAAAGTGGAGGAGGGGAAATATGAGAAGCTATGATTGCAAATAGATCAATTAGGACAAACCTTAGAATAGATATCTCATTGCCGAAGTCTTCGATGTTCTCAACAGTTAAATCTTGTTGAAGAAAAACTTTAATGGCAACATCTGCCCCATTCCAAACGCCACGAAAAACATCTGTCACATTTATTCCCTGCAAAGCAAAAGTTGACACTTAATTTGTTCGTTCTTGAAGGAATATACATCATCAGTAGAGTGGCATGTGATGCAGGATCATACCTGCAATCCTGGCTCTTGACAAGCCTCTGCAAATTTAGCTGTTGAAAGAGCTGCATTTCTTTTAATATCAGCTTTCTTGCGCTCTAGTTCAGCCAGTTGCTGTTGAGTCCTTTGGACCTGATTCGTCTTATATGGTCTTCAAATATGAAATACAATTGATCAATAATATAAGCCGCACTAACATCAAGCAAATATTATTATTTAGCATTAACCAAGTAGACAATCACGAGAGCACTCACATTTCATAATTAACATTCTGGACCATTATCTGAGCAGCCTCACCAAGGTAAATATGATCTTTCTCAAAAGATTGCACGATTGACTCCCAAACACCCTGCCAAAGGTTAAAATTTAAATAAGAATTATATGTAGAAAAATGGTAAGTCAGGGGAGGGGCAGAGAGAGAGAGAGAGGACTGTTTTTGAAGATCTTACAGCAGCACCTGAAAGCTGGCCAAAAATATTACGGCTTTCTGGAGTCAACTTCAAAAGAATACCATATATTTGTTTGGCTTCCAAGTAACCAATCCCTGGAAAGAGAATGTGAATTGACATAAAACACCTAAATAGTAAGTAAAAAAGAAAAAATCAACACTGTTGAGTATAATTCCTTGAGTTTCAGTGCAACAAATTAATAAGCTACCACATCTTAACTACTAATAAATTTCCTGAAGTCAATGTATCCACATAGAAAATACATCTCAGGCCAACTCCACAACAAAGATCAACTATTAACTTTATAAAGCAATGTAAAAGCATGATTATTCATTGTAAATAGTTGGACTTTTTAACGAGTGGAAATAAAGCTCTCCATAACTACTTCTCTGAAAACATTATGCCAGCCAGAGTGCCTAATAAATTACTCTCGAATTATGAACCCTCAAGTCTTTATATACAATATGAAACACTCCTAGCCAAGATAAAACGAACACTTGAACAAAAACTTGACAGACTCTCATAAGTTCCCACCATATCAAGCAAATTCTTGACCTGCTTTGATTTTCCAAAGAAAACAGTAAGTAAATTTCCAGATCTGAAATCCCAGATAATTAGGACAAGAAATAGAAATTAGAGTTAACCATCAAAGCTTGATCAATATAAACCATCTTCACAACAGGACTGCTAGTTAGTTAACTATACCTACATACAAGACAGAATACAACATAACACTGATCCGAACCAAGACGATGATGCACTTCTTGTTATCGATCACCAAACGAAAGGTTTGGAGATATATAAGCAATTAATGGATGAATCAAGTGATCACCAACACGCATAGGCTGTTACACCCACACAATGTGGGTGGTTTGCTGAATGGTATAGTCGACTTGCTTCATTGAGTGAGGATTCATGAGATGGTCTTCAGTTTTGTCTTCTTCTGTTTTACGAAGAAAGATGACAGCAGACTCTTGCTGCGGACAGGTACGCGAATAATCTGAAGCCGGTTTGGGTTGTCAAATGACTTGAAAGCTGTCAAAGGTTTTGAGACCTCCTGCAAAGTACAATCACTCTCATAAGAACTTTTTGGCATTTCTCTCAACCACAGGGCAAGATATTTTACAACATAAGCAAGCATAAGGTATGGAGCTTCTCTCCTACCACCCATGAGTGGTCCAGCAAAAACATCTCCATACCAAAAGATTTTTAAGTCATCAGATCATCTAATCAAATTCATATTTGAATACATACAGTAAAACCAAGTCTCGTATCCCATTCAATGGAAGAAACTACGCATGAATTATTTTTTTCCGTTGGCACAGTTAATGAGTTGTGTCTAATTGTTGTTTCTATAAAAATTTTCTTTTTAATTTTGTTGATATCTATCAACCACATAATATGTTAGAAGCACAACTCTGCTCAAGTCAACTTACTTCGATTGTTCACATAATCTCCAATTACTAAAATTACATTTAATATATTCAGTTTTATTCCTACTTATTTTAAACTCTTTTGGACTTGATTGCTCTCCAAGTTTGTAATTTGGTTTTTTAGTTTCATCTACTAACTACTAAGGACAATATCATCTGCATAGACAATGGGACATAAATTCTGCTGCAGAGTCAGAATATTAAACAAATCATGATTCACGCCATCCCGGTTGACCCAAAATCTGCACCTTTTTCCATGACTAAAATAAGAAATAATTCTAAGTATTAAAAACTGATGGGGTTTCCAATCCCATTTCAGAAACAAAAACAAGAGAAGTAAAAGGTAAAAATAATAAACAGACATCTCATACCTCTGCACAACCAAATAAAATTATTTCTAGTTATTCTTTGCAAAATACACACATCAAGATTCATCGCTAATGTTCATAACTATGTTCCAAAGACAAACATCCAAAACTAGAACTCAAGTCTCCATGGCCCCGTTTGTTTTCAGTGATAGAAGGGAGGGGATTGATAGTGAGGGGATTAATAGTGAGAGGATTGTTAGTGAGGGGATTGATAGTGAGGGGATTAGTAAAATTGTGTTTGTTTGATAACCAATAGAGTAGTAATAGTTTATGTTTGTTTTGAGAGATAGGGATGGGATTAACCATGTGAAATTCCACAAATACCCTTATTACATATTATTAAATTTGGACTTATACCAAGTAAAGAATAAATAAATTTATACTCAATATTATTATTATTCTTTTTTTTTTAATATTAAATTTGTACTAAATTTGTACTCAATATTAAATTTGGACTTATACCTGTGCAAAGTCATAACACCTAAATAAATAAAATCACATCCATTCTAATTTAAATTAAAAACCTGTGACACAATTCCAAACAAATATAAAACTCATGTACACAGATGTAATAAATGAATCAATTTTATCTTTACAAAAACTAGTATATGTAATTAAGTGAGGAAATTAGAGTGAGTTTTTTAAACTGACATTTGTTCTTGCATCTTTTGCAAGGCCAGTGGAGGTAAAAATGTCAGCAAGCTATCAAATAAATCCGATGGAATTTCATATACATGCGGTGGAAGAGTATCATCATCTGCAACCATATTTTAAGAAAAATAAAATTAAATAAAATATAAAATGAGAGAAAAAGAGAGAGAATAGTCATTTGAAGAGCTGTACGAGATTGAAAATCTGAAGAAGAATGATCTGCAAAAATCTGAAGAGAAGAAGAGCTTCTGAAATTGAGAAAGAAATCGTAAATCTGAAGAGAAGCTCTTTTCTGAAATCTGAAAAAATGATCTGCAATTTTGCCAGAAACTTCAATTGTTGTACGAGATTGAAAATCTAAAGAAGAAGAAGAGCTTCTCTTCCCTCTCCCTTTTGCTGCTGCTGCTGCTTTGATGAGTTAGGGTTAGGGCAACAAATGGGTAAAGAAGTAATCACACTCCTAATACCAACGGACTAGCTTTGAATACCAACATCAGGGGCGGACTGTGAATCCCCTCTGTAAGGCCTCTATGAAGCCGTTCGGCTTATCAATCCGGCCTTCATCTCTGTAAACAAACAGGGTATTAAGTGGGACCCACAGTTAATCTAATCCCAATACCCCTCTTATCCCCCAAAACAAACGGGGTGCTAGAGTTGGTTGATAAAAAAAATGGATTTGTTGTCTTTGGGTGTTCATTGGACTATTTGTGGCGTGAAATAGCATGTTGTTGTTGAAATATAGAAAAACCCTAATTTGAAGTAATCACACTCCTAATACCAACGGACTAGCTTTGAATACCAACATCAGGGGCGGACTGTGAATCCCCTCTGTAAGGCCTCTATGAAGCCGTTCGGCTTATCAATCCGGCCCTCATCTCTGTAAACAAACAGGGTATTAAGTGGGACCCATAGTTAATCTAATCCCAATACCCCTCTTATCCCCCAAAACAAACGGGGTGAAATATCTATACGAAACTTCCCTCAAAATATCTATACAAAAATAACTTCGGAACTTGTAGTTATACTCAATATCTCATTACACCCACAAATACAAAACTTACTTCATAGGTCATGTTTGATTCACAATACTAATAGTGAGGTATTAATAATCCTATTAAATTAGTGTGGTATTAACTATCCCACCCCTACCCCATTACTAATAATCCTACAAATTTGTTGGATTAATTATCTATTGGATTAATAGTCCTAAACCAAAATGTCAAAACAAACATAGGATGATTGGGCCCACGGATTAATAATCCTAATCCCATGCTTTAATCCTTCTAATCAAACATGCCGATAAAGTACTATATCACAATGTATAATGTGGGAATTATAAAAATAATTAAAAGGACAAATTATACTAACAGTCCCTATAGTTTGGGATTTATATCATTTTAGTCCCTGACTTTTCAATTGTGACACATTTGACCTTAAATTTTGAATCTTGTTTCAAATAAGGATAACTAACATACCACTGCTTAATTTCAAGGGCAAAATCGTCATTTTGATAAAATATAAACTAATTTGACAAAAATAAATGTCAAAAAAATATTTAAAAATTATTTTTACTCACCAAAAATAAAATTATGTAAAATTGATAAAAATTAATAAATATTACATGATTAATTTTTAAAAATTAATTTTACATGATCATCATCTAAATACATAATAAAAATTAATTTCGTAAAAAAAAAATAAATATCTAAAAAAAAAGAAGAAGAAAAGTTTTGTCAGGTAAAGTTGTGGAGTAACCATGACACCCTTGGGTCAGCATCTTAAAATTTAAAGATACAAAAAATTAAAATATAAACAAACATTTTTGCTTCATAAATTTAAAATTCAAAGCCGTTCATAACCATAGTAAGCCCTTCCCAGGCTCCTACTTCCCCATGCTCTCACCTCATAGAATTAAGATTGTAAATTAATTAAGTTATTCACGAACAAGTTTAGCTTGACTGGTTAAGGGCTCAACTCGTTTAATAAATGAGTCGAACTTGAGTTCGAATATTAGGTTCCTTTAGTAAACGAGTTGACCTCAACCTCGAATAAATTCGGCTCGTCTTCGGCTTGTTTATCTTCATTTAAAGTATATAATAAATATATTATTTATATATTAAATAATATAAGTAATATTAAAAAATGCTTATCAAGCGAAACTAAACCGACCTTGAGTTTCATTAATATTAATGAGTTTTGGCTGGTTTTTTTTGTGTGTTTCTATTTGTTGGTTTTGGCATGTTTTAGATTTTGGTTGTATTTTTTGTTTGGGTTTGTTGATTGTGGTTGGTTACTCACCAACTCACCATCTCTAGGCGGTGTGCTAGCATATAATTGGGTAATCTCAACAGTGTCAACTTAGTTGGGATTGTTTTGTTTCGTTATGATGCTCTTTGCACTCCCCTTCCCCTTCCCCTTCTTTATTGATGTATTTCTACATTTGGTCTTCATCAATAAAGTTCCATTTTCTTCGCTGATCAAAAAAAATAATAATAATAATAATAATAATAATATTAATGAGTTGAGCTGAGTTCGAACCCAATTACTTATCGAGTTAAGTTCGAGTTCAATAAACGAGCTCGATAAAAAAATGAGCCAAGCTTAAACTTAAGTTCAGTTCAACTTGACTCGTTTGCGACCCTAAATAGAATTTCTTTCTTTACGTTTTTTCTTTGAAAATGGTGGAAAGGAGTAGGGTGTGCGCCAAAAAAGAGGAAAAATGGAATGGGTGCATGACAGGGGAGAGAATTAGTGCAAGAGTTGTTGTAAAAGGAAGGGGTCGTAGGTTTGATTAGAGAGGAGATGCAATGGGTCAGAGGAAAGGTTTTGAAGTGACCAGAACGAGTTATGACATTGTTAAGTTAACAATGGATTATAAGAGGATGGATAGATAAATAAAAGTTTGAATTTTTTTGACTTCGTTTGAGAAGTTAGGTTGGCTTTTTTTATATTTTTGACTATTTTAGCTCCAATTAAAAAGTTCATTTGAATCGATTTTTTTATTTTTTTTACTTTTATGAGAGAAAAAGTGAAATAATTATAATTTAGATTTGACATTTTATTTTATTAACTTCTCTATTTTATTTTTTTTGTAATTTAGTCAAAAAGCCAACTCAACTCGCATTCTAAGCAACACCATACTCTCTTAAATTTTTTAAATAAGGATGAAACTATAAATAATAAGAATAATGTTTGAGGGCCACAATTTTTGTGGCTCAAATGGCTCAAAACTGTCAAAACGGTCGTTTTGGCAGTTTTGAGCCATTTGAGCCACAAAAATTGTGGCCCTCTACCATTGTCCAAATAATAAATAAAATAAAAATTGATAAGTAATGAGTTACTTTTGTGATGTAAGTATAAATAAGTTATAATAGGTAGTCTCAATCCACACTGGCTGGATCTCAAAATGAGTTATCAATTCTAGCAGCCTAAGATCATCTCAATTATTGTCGTCCATATATTTTATCTTTACCATACTTAATTATAACACACATTTTAAATTTGGCTATAAACATTAAAAAAAAAAAATTAATGGATATGCAATCACAAGTCGCAATTTTTTTGTTTTGAGAATTATTCGTTGCTCCCAAGGCACCATGTCACATGTGACAGACAGGTGGCGCCTCACACCAATGAAAATGTGTCAATTAGGCCAGGTGTCAGTGGATCATGGTCATTCAGAAAGTCAAACTCATTCTAAACGGCAACATAATACTAACAGACGGACGGTTAATGCGTTAAACAATCATGTGACATTTCAAAGTGTTTAACATCTTAAAGATTGTTCAAGATGTCCTAGATAAATATATTTTTTTAATTTTTTGGATTAAAAAGTTAAGAAAAAAAAATATAATTATTTGAAATAATTTTTTTGTTTTTTTATGAAAAAATTGTATTAAAATATTATATAAAATAACAAAATTACATTTTTATTCCTACATGGTGGAATCATCAGTGACAGGTAGCAGAGAGGAAAGTATGGCTGGATTGAAATGGTACATGAGGCTTCACGGGTACTGCTCGGCTATGGGGCCCATCAAGGGTCCCGTTTTGATAATCCGAATTGTTTAATGTGTAGAACAGTACTATATGTTTATGAAAAATCACTTTAATCGGATATCGATAGTTATGTGATCAAAACAGTTTTGTATGAAATTAATGGATGGTGAAAAATAAATGGCTAAAATAAAAACTGATTCGATCACATAGTTATCTATATCCGATCAACGTGATTTTGATGAGTTCTACACATTGAACAGTTCGATTATAAAAAACAGACCCGTGGTGGGGGCCCCATGGGCCCAACATTACCCTCCAACTTAATAAATATATACATCTAATTTTTTTTTTGGTTTATTTGAACAAACCAATATGTACTGAACCATCAATTAGTACCAATGCTGTCCAATCGTTCTTTGTATTAAAATATTGTGAAAATTAATTTTTTTATATTTTTAATTTGTAAATAGTGATAACTTTTTAACTTTTTTAGTAAATTTTTAACTTTTTAGATTTTTCCCGATATGCCAAACCAAGCCTAAATGTTTCTCTGTTATTGCAAAGTTGCCGTTTAAAATGAGTTTGACTTAGGGTTGCTTTGGCAATGAGGTAAAAAGCCAACTTTTGGCTGTTTATCCATTTTAAGTCACATCATCTCTCATATTTTTTATCCATTAAAAAATAAAATAAATTAAAAAAATTAATTTTTTACCAACTTTTCAAAACACCACTTAATTACTAGTGACTTGCCATTATTAACACCTAACTTTTTTTTGAACAATTATTAACACCTAACTTAGATGGCACATTTTCATTGATGTGAGGTATCACTTGTCACATGTGGCGTGGTGCTTTCGGGCAACGAATTTACTTTTTTATTTCATTAAATTTAAATTTAATAAAAAAAAATAGAGTACAATTTTAATATTTAAACCATAACATTATTCATTGATGTGAGGTATCACTTGTCACATGTGGCGTGGTGCTTTCGGGCAACGAATTTACTTTTTTATTTCATTAAATTTAAATTTAATAAAAAAAAAGAGTATAATTTTAGTATTTCAATCATAACATTAAGGTCTCTTTTGATATAACTTATATAATTCATC